GGGGGGCGGGGGTCAAAATAATATAAAAATGAACCCTCGCCCTCCGAACTGGGTCATTCAGGGCGGCCAAAACTATATGTCAATGGAAACTACATTGATATGCGTAACTTTCATTAGAAGAAACCCAAATGCCCAGTTGAGTCATGAGGGGTGAATATCCCATTGTGAAGTTTCAACGAAATGGGGTATTTTCACTTTTCGACCCGAATTAAAGGTTCAAGTTATAAGGAGTAAATTGTAGGTCAAGAGAGATTGACAATGTATGGAGCCTATAGGTAATTTTTTACGAGGAATCCGAATATGTCATTAATTTTGGGGTTAGATGGGGTATGGACCCAATTTCGGGGTATTTTTCGAAATTTTCATACATTTTGTAGGGGGACCCCCCTTGGGGGTGATGGGAGGGGATGGGCAATGGCCTAAATGAAATGTGCGAATGAAATAAGCTATAGTTGGTCATACATTTGAGTGCAAAATTCCACACCCAAAAAGTGAAAAGTCGACTTTGTATCATTTTACCCTAATGGGGGGGGCTCTGAACTATTGGGAGACTTGGGGTGAATGGGCTCGAGACGAATATCATTTCTAGGGTAATTTGGGATGCTGATTCCGAATTTCGAGGTTTCGGTTGAAAAAAGTCATGGGTGAAGGAGTTATGACCCCCAACCCCCCTGGGGGGTGGGGGGACTTGGAGGGCAGAAGTCCTAGAAAATTTCTCTCGTTATTCTGAACAACTTTGTAGTACAATATTTTTCGATCCGACCAAATTTTGACATGGTGGGGTACTCCCCTTCCTCCCCTATTTCGATTGGGCCCCCCTTATTTTCACAAATTTATTTTTCCGGCACATTATACCGATCCATATAGGTGAAATTGAAAACTTTTATTAACACTTCGATACCTTTACTGGTTAGATTTATATTTTAAGTGCTCAATATTCAAGAAGGTTTATTTCTAGTGTTTTAATTTAACAGTTTAACGTAGTTTAATCGATTCAATATGATTTTGCCAAACTGTGACGGCCATATTGTCACAAACTTCGATTAGTACTCGGAACACGGCTTCGACTTTACCTTACACACTAGGTGTGTGCGGAAAAGTAATATGAATAACAGGTGGGTAGATAAGTCTTTGTCCTAACATATAGATGGCGTCACTGGATTTTTTTGCTATGATTTTTAGTTAGTACGAACCTTCAAACGATACGTGTCAAAATTTGACAGCAATCGGTCGATTGGTTCGTGAGATATAGCGTTTTGAGTGAAACAACTTTTGTTATTGTGAAAAAAATGGAAAAAGACGAATTTCGTGTGTTAATAAAACACTGTTTTTTGATGGGAAAAAATACTGTGCAAACCAAACAATGGCTTGATAAATGTTACCCGGACTCTGCGCCAGCACAATCAAATATAAAATATTGGTTTCGTGAATTTAAACGTGGTCGTACAGACACAGACGATGCACAACGCAGTGGACGTCCAAAAGAGGTGGTTACGCCAGAAAACATCAAAAAAATCCACAAAATAATTTTGAATGACCGTAATGTGAAGTTGAGCGAGATAGCTGAAACCCTAAAGATATCAAAGGAACGTGTACATCATATTATTCACGAATATTTGGATATGCGAAAGCTCTGCGCAAAGTGGGTGCCGCGTGAGCTCACAATCGATCAAAAACAACAACGTGTTGATGATTCGGAGCAATGTTTGAAGCTGTTTAACAGCAATAAAACCGAATTTTTGCGTCGATATGTGACAATGGATGAAACATGGCTCCATCAATACACTCCAGAGTCCAATCGACAGTCAGCGGAGTGGACTGCACGCGACGAACCCAATCCAAAGCGTGGAAAGACGCAACAGTCGGCTGGCAAGGTTATGGCATCAGTATTTTTAAAATCATCTCCAATCGTGTTTTCTACATTAAATATGCATAGAAAACATGTTTTGGGGTGACTTTAATTTTTTGGCCTAATACAATACCTTTCCTACACTAGGTGTGCGGAAAAGTAAAAAATAACATTCTGAAAGTTTGAAGAGATTTCAATCAAAATTAAGGGTACCTCCCATAAAAAAATTTCAATTTTTGGCTCAAAAACGAATATTTTGTATGGGAGGTACTCTTAATTTTGGTTGAAATTTTCTCCAAACCTTTCGAATGTTATTTTTTTGTGAAAAAATAACCTGTGCAAACTTTCACGCCATTAAGGTTTAAAGTTTATTTTTTATATTGTTTTGTTAGAAAATAGAATACTTTCAAATGTCGTACAAATTGGTTCATCATTAGGGTGGTTCGATTTTTGTGAAAATTCAGAAGGGATACTGGCTATAGCAAGGGGAAAATCGGTACTGAAATACTAAATATACTCAGAAGTATTGAAAAGTACCGAAAAGTACCGAAACGTATCAAAACATACCAAAACCTACTAAATAGGTATTCGTTTCAAAAAAATAGTGAATAATTTTTTCAT